GAGTGCTTCCGCCTGAAATGCAAGGAACCAACAGTCTGTAAATATGCCATATCTGTAAAACTGATTTGCACGCAAAACTCAAACTCTTGGACAAGATTTAAGTTCAGAGGTGGACGAACAACCAAAACTTTCCAGAGTTTAAAGCTATTGAATGCGAAGAAGAAGAAGAAGAAGAAGAAGAAGAAGAAGAAGAAGAAGTATCCTTCCCTATTATTCCTTTTTTCTTTACTCTTGTATCTAATTCTTGTTTTAAATGTAATGAAACAAATATAGCTCTCTTTTATCGTCTTTGTTTGCCAGAAAAACCCGTCTATTGTGCGACAACAGATTTTGGTATCAGATATTTATTTCCGCTTTATCTGGTCTGGCTTGTGTTTACTTTTCTGTCAGGGTAACGTTCGTGTTATCTCGTCACTTGCCAGTTGCGACTCCACTGGTTATGCCGCCTCAAATTCTCAGGGCCCGGCTCTCTAGCGTAGTTGGCTAAACCGGATTGCGCGGAGACCGGGTGACGAACTCCTTGTGGTCCGGGTTCAATCCCGGGGGTAGGCAGGAAAGCCACATTTTCTCCCAGATTTACGGTATTTACAATGGAATCAAGACCGAAAGGTTGCGATATCCATAATACCGAGCCTAAGGGTTAACAACTCATGGCTTCTGGATACTAAAACAAATAACAAATTCTCAGGATCAAGCCCTCCTCTCCGTCCCATACCGCCCTAAAAGTGGTAAATACAAAATAGTCGGTAAAGACAGTTCAACTATAGTTGTAGAGAAGGTTAGGTTAGTTGCGTATCCTTTTACAGGACGTTACAGAACCAACCCCATGATATTTGTGTGGTTTTTCTAGGCAAATTTACGTCCAGTAGTTTGTCTGCTTACTGGACGGTCGGCTTTCTTGATACCACTGTCGAAACCAACGCAAGGCACATGGCCCGCAGCTGGGATAGAACCCGGCATCCCGGCATTACGAAGCGTTGGCATGGACTTAAACCACAGAGCCGACGTAGAGAAAGTACAACCTCGAGAACTAGCAATGGGGGATCGAACTCATGACCACTGGTTCCTGTGAGAAGCTTTCTAGCCACTGTGCATCATAGGCGCTCTCTTATCAATAAATATTAGATTTAAAAAAGGGGGAGGGCGGAGCTAATCTTAGTTTTTTTAATTATTCAAATCTGCACATATACATATAGATAACGGATGAATTAGACACGTCGTATTTTAACTATCCATCTGCATGTAACGGATGACTCAAAATCCGCCTTATCAACTATTTAGGTACCTGGAAATAACTAGACTGTGGATGAGTTAAACACAAGACATTTGCCAGACAACTGAAGGAAACGTAGCAGACACGAACTGTCTGTGAATGTCGAAGGTTATGAATGACTCACGTTCATATGAGGTATTCGAGGCGTACCGACAACCTTCATCGTCGGAAGATTCTTGTGCTGCTCCCGATACATGCTGTAAGGGCGGATCCAGTAAACATAGAGGAGGGTGGGGGGACGGCGTGCTTTACTACCATCTTGTCTTTCAGAACCTGTGCGATTTTACTACCAAATGCTATCTTTATACTGGTGGTTTTTAATTTCACAGAACCCAGCCGATTATTTTCTTTAAGGGAATTTTGCATCATTTACCTGGCTAAGTTATAGATCTTTTGTTTGTAGTAGTTATTTTTACCTAAAATAATATGCTGTTCAACCTTCAGAGATATCAACTGTTTTTTGAGTTCTCAGAGAACATATTTGTATATTGATCTCTTATATTTATTTAACATTGTTCTTACGCCAAACAATTAATAACACATAATGATCCTTGCCAGTAAAAGACGCGACGGTTAATAGGTTTTATACAGAAAACGTAAATTATCCTTTTCTGCGTCATACGCAGTGGGTATTTCATTCTAGTTTCTCATTTTCATAGACAATTTGATTTTTTTAAAGAGTTTTTTTCTCTCTCTAGATTTGCAGTTTGTAGGATTAACATATCAAGGATGAGAATCAAACCTGTACAAATCCCGGAAAACCCCTTCAACAGTTATCTTAGGGCATCACAAATCGGTTACAATGTAAACTTCTTTTTCTTGTTGTTTACCAGCTGTTAACTCTAGTGGAAAGTTCTGGATGTTCATCCACTTTCGGACTGCAGTCCTGTTCCTGAACCTGAGTGTTGCGTGTGCATCCGTTTTACAGATCTGACTCATTTGTATGCAGACTGCTGGTTCCTTGCCTCTCAGGCAGAATCATTACGACTTCGAAGGAAGCTTCCAATAAGTCGACTCTTACGACATGCTTTTGGGTAGGCAGTGGGTATATTCTTGTTTTCCCTATAATAAGGCCCTGGAACACACACAGGGAACGATGTAACCTGAAGTATAATGGGTCTTCTGTCGAAGAGTGGGAAAGCTTCCAGAACGTTCCGGTGAATATCAGGGAGTGATGACTCACTCTAGAGAAGCACCTGTGGTGTAACAGCATGAGTCAGCCGGATCCTCGGTTTTCATCCCGCTACTTCGTACCGCTTATGGTCTGGGTGCCAGAACCGGATTTAGACTTGATGAGGCCCTAAGTTAGCCTATATAAAACTCCTGAGGCCCCTACCGTTTTAAAATACACGAGATAACCTCAGAATACTCCACTGTATAAACCCCCCTTAATATACTACCAGTTAGAATGGAAAAGGGGGGGGGGGGAGGGGTGGGGTGGCCCTGTGATAGCATTCCCAATAATTATTTTTTTAATATATATTAAAAGAAACAGAAATAGGAATCTTTTGAAGCTCGTGCATAATGTCAGGCCCTAGGGTGTAGCTTATCTTATATCTACATCCATCACTGGCCATCACCTTCCCAACAAAGAGGGCAGTGTATCTGACTTCGTCATGCATTCGTTTTCTGTTTACTTCCTTTGTCGGCGTCTGTGGCTAAGACATTGCTAACGAGCTTCATCAATCTGAGATGCCAGGTTTGTTCCCAGCTGCAGGAGATTTGGCAGAAGACAGCCTTGCGTTAGTTTTGACAATGGAATCCAGCCGGTGAACGCAGAGAAGAAGAAAGAAATCGCTGCACTGTATTCGTTACATTCGGGAATGTTTGTGTCCCAGTTTTTGCCAATATCGAAAGCGCCCCCTGGCCGACATGAGTCATACAACAGGTGAAACACCCATAACAGCTGCTGTCCTGTGTGTGTATGGAATGTTCAGCTAGTTAGATGAATGACTCCCGATAACTGGGTCGTTTGTTGTATGTGTCAGTCGTGTGTGCATCGTTGGGGGGAACACACGAGGTCACTACAAACCAACGAGAACATGGAAAAATAAGGGGGGGGGGGCGTCAAGTCACTTCTGACACAGAAGATCTTTCATACCATCATATCAAACGATCCAACACCTTCTCTTTCGGCCTTGCCCGTCAGACTTTCCCACCGTCACGATGTAATGCAGTGTTCTAATTCTCATGAGATGACCAAAGAATCTAAACTGTCTCCTTCTGACGTAGGCAATCAGTTCTACTGGTGTATCAGTTTCTTTCAGGATATATATTTCTTTCCGCATCCTTAGCTCTCTCTATATATACAAATAAGCAAAGGACCCTTTTATGCCAGTGGCCTTTCGGAGATGTGATGCCAGATTCATAATTATGTAGACCAAGTGGCACTTAATGTGTGATGTAGTCATCACCCCACCGGCTGCCTTTACTTTCCATAACTATACCTGTTACCCATTTTTGGCTGGGTCGACCTGGGACCTGTCATTGTTAACAAAAATCCGACTCGATGCTGATTGCAACCCAAGCTCTTCCAGCTGACAGACTAGCGAGTGGTTGCTACACTTTTGCGACGTCCTCCAAATATAAATTTGCGTGTATCTTTCTGAGTTCCGCCCACCCAAATTGGACAACATGTTATTTCATAACTGTCGGGTTAAATTTGTTTTACGGCTGAATGGGATGTCTTGAATATGCCCCTGTTTGTTTCTTATCCAAACAGTGGCTTTTATGAGTCAGTGGATGTTAATTTTCAGGCAGCAAAAATAAAAATAAAAACTTTCTTGACATAAACATTTTTTGTTTGGGAAAAAGGGTGGGGTGAAAAAAGGGGGGGGTGTGGCAACGATAATTTTCAGAGGATATCTGTAATTTGCCTCTTCTGTACAGAAGGAAGCGTGCGTTTAAAATGTGGCATCCGCCTACAACTCACGAAGACCGCTAACTCATATTTGAAGACCGATCGATATTTAATAGGTGAAGAGCCGAATATATTATTGCTTGCCTGTGTATCTCATGCAGTTATTTACCTGGTATCAATTTTAGGTATCATCATCATGTAGCATGTCCTTTGCAGAATGTAGATCTCATCACAGTCTGTCTGGATGAGGAAAAAAACTGGGTCTCCCGTCAACTCTCACACCTCGTCAGCTTTCTACCCAAGTTGTTCCATATATCCTGTACTTATTTTTGTGTTAGTCGGCCCCTGCCCTTCTTTCCTAGTACCATGCCCTTAGCTACTATTCTTTTTAATGCACCTCGGTGCTTTACATGGCTAAAGTATTTCGGTTTCTGAGACAAGATGCTGTTGACAAGCCAATTTTCCTTGACTTTCAGATCTGTTAGGATGTCAGTATTACTATTTGTTTTCTGTTTGGTCCTTGGTATTCTAAAAATCTTTCCATAGTATTCCAGCTGAAAAGCCCCTTCTTTCTTCCTTAATGACTGTGAAATAGTCCATGACTCGTACTCTTAACTTGCTACCGGAAACATGCAAACTCCCACACTTTTGACTTTGATTTCCTTGCTAGTTCTTAGTCATTGACTTTTAATAATATTTAATTTTTATCTTAGGCCTATTTGAAAATAAACATTTTACATTCATATTTACTATTGGGCTCTTCATGCTATGCTTTCTTCTTCTTTTTTTCTTTAGTTCTGTGTTTATGTCTATACTCGTCAAGCATATAAAAATATGTCTGTATGTCTGGCCCAGATAACTACAGCGATGCCATTCAAGCCCCAAGACCAGGCTAGGTGCCCCAAATGCAGCAAGGCTGTGTACGCAGCCGAAGAGAGACTGGCTGGGGGCATGAAGTTCCACAAGGCCTGTTTCAAATGTGGTAAGTGGCTCCATCTTTGTCCATGTGTCCAATAGTTGACACTGGATACTCATCATCATATGCATGACCACAAGGTCTCTCAGCCAACTGGGTCCTTGGTAATCATAATCAGTTCTAGTAAATATGTTCCTCCATACATTACTGCACAATCGATCTCTGTCTCTACTACTGTTGATCTTTCCAGTTGCCAGGATGTTCTCCAGTTCTTCATCTATTTTCCTTCCCCTTTTACTGTTCAGGTGTCCAGGAAGGTGTAAAGTTCTGCTTCTTGATTTTCTGGCTGCATCGACCATAGGCACATCGTGCCATTGTAGAGTTTCTCTGATGTTATCTTTCCATTTGTAATTCTTGGTCTACCTCATGCATACTTTACATCCTTCTCTTTTCGTGTATACCTTGTGTGGTTGGGCTTCAGGGCAATTCTAATCGGTCAAATGCTTCTCTACAGCAGGGTAAGATTAAAGAACCCTGTCTTTTATTTAAGTTGCATCTGTCATTTTATTTTCATGTTCAAGACTCGTACAAGAGAAAGAAAAAAAAAAGGGGGGGGGGGGGTATTTCGTCTTGTCACGAGAAAAGGAATATTTGAGAATATTATCATATTATCACAGCTGATTGTTCTGGTAATAAAAGTTTATGTTACTCACCCTCAGCGCTAAAATGTTGATCTTCCTTCCATCTGTCTTTCGGTTCATTGATCTGTGTATGACTGCCTGACTACCCTCACTGAAATCCATAATTACCTGCATGTCTAATTACCTACTAGTTGTTCTGCCTGTCTGTCTAAATGTCTGAGTGTCTGTTTTACACTTGACAGACATGCATGTTTGAATCGGGCCTGGCTTTCTCTTGACTTGTCTCCCAAGGAACCTCATTCTAAGTAAATACATGACTCGAGCGTCTAGCTAAATAAACTTATATTTTTTTATCTGTAATCCTGTAATCCAGGCAAACTTTTCACTCTTCTTTATCTTCTGCCCTTTTTCCTCCTTGAAGCATGGAATCTCAACCAACTGACACGAGTTGTCCTATCCTTTGTGATTGCATGCAGCAAAGCCCATGTCCTTCTCATCTTCTTCATTCTCTAGTTTCTGTCTCCTTGTGTTTTTGGTCTGCCATGCCTGTGGGCTCTAGAGTAAAGACATTCCAGTTATATTGTTCTCAGGTTTTCTCAACATGTGTCTGGGGCCGCATTAGCACAGTCGATAAGAGGCTCGCTTTGAAATCCAGCTGCAACTCGCTGCAGCCCACGGCCGGTGTTCGAACCCGGGTGGTTCCCAGGGTTCATCCAGCCTCTAGGAAATGGGTACCAGAGCTGACACTCTGGGGTAAATGGAGGAACGTCGCTGTAGCTACAGAGTTACGTGCGAACGGTGACACAGGCGGACAATTCCTATCAGCTGTCCGAACTGGTGGCAGAGCACTTATGGTTTATAACCGTGTGCATGATGCTGGTTCACATTTCCCGACTTTTACCTTTCAACATGTGTCCTATCTAACGCCAGCATCTTTTCTTCACCTCTTCATCATCATCATCACGTGTCATGTGGACTGACCTGGGCATTCATGCATCTACACAGATCTTGGTCCCTTGTTCTCTGGATCAGGTCCACCGATGATATCCCTCCGTGCCACCATCATAGTCTCTCTCAATCTGCCTTTCCATCTTTAACCATGGATCTTCCCACTGGTCACGATATTCTCCAAAGCCTCCCCCACCTCTATTTCATGACCAAAGAACACTGCTTGTCTTTTACTTATAACTGTATATATTGATCTGCTTTCATTAGCTTTTTTCAATCATTCATCGTAAGTTACTCTGGCAGTCAAAGGGATTCTTAACATTTCTCTGAGAAACCACATCTCCATCCCCTCCAAGTTTTCTATTTTTTTTAAATGTATGCATTCACATTTATGATTCACTACCATACAACAATAAAGGTTCTACGTTACATTTTTGTGCTCCCTCTGGGACAGACAAAGAGAAGTACCTGTTGCACAAGATATTCTTCATTCTGTGAAATGCAGCCTTAGCCTGGCCTATTCTGCTCTTCATTTCTGAGTTCTCTGCCAAAACTCAACATTAACGAGCCTCACTATCCAGTTAATGAATGTTTGTAGATTATCAGTCAAGTGTTTTAGTCAACTTTTCATTATGTGTAAATAAATAGTTCTGTCCTATTGCTAGGACTGTGTCAAAAGTACCTAGAGAGCACAAACGTTACAGAACATGGCGGGGACATCTACTGCAAGAGTTGCCATGGTAAAAAGTTTGGACCTAAGGGTTATGGTTTCGGAAGTGGGGCTGGAACTTTGGGAATGGACACCGGTGAACGATTTGGAAACACTGAAAGTGAAATGAGGTATGTTGAATAATTATTACCTTTCTGATTTCAAAACTATACATTTATGATATTCTCATTTGCTACCCTTGTGGTTTATAGAATTATATTTTGGCATCTTTATTTACTATCAGTCATATATCTCTAAAAACTATCAGTCAATTAAATGTCCATTCGACAGTAAAAGTTGTCTCACAATAATAACTTTAAAGTCCAAACCCATTTAGTACTGCGATTTAGCTTGAACATACATGAGAAATAAATACACAGTATTGATTAGCACTGACAGAAATAGATGAAGGACATTGTGACCATGCAGATAAAAGCTGTACTAACCACAGAATAGAACCGGATGGAAGAATAGATTGCAAGCCCTATCGGACGTATATTGGCAGAACACAACAGGACAATGAGGATATTGATCACAAAAGTATCTGAGACAGAGACAACTTATAAAAATAAAAGTAAGGCAGTTGCAATTTTTTTTAACCACATAATGAAAGAGGACAACTAGAACATAGTGTGACACTGGGAATTTTTTGAATAGACAGGTCGGAAAAGACAATAGGACAGGATTCCTTTGGCTGTATCTTCTTGTTATGACACATAAAGGTATCAATTCAATAACTGAATCATGCTGCTAAAAATCACAAGTTGTGGAGTGGCATACTTGTTTATACACGCCAGAAAGGCTTTTTTTTATATTTATATATAATCTTACAGCCAAAAAGAGCAACCAAGAGGTTTTGAAAGAGGTGGGAGCCCGAAGACAACTTATCACAGACACCAGAAGGAGACAGTCATCATTTTTTGGCCATGTTATGAGAAGAGGGAAAATAGAACATGTTGTGACCACTGCAAAGATCTGTGGAAGGAGGGATAGAGGAAGACAACGAGAGAAGATTATTGACAGTCTTGTTGCATGACATGGAGGTGTGTCGGCACACGAACTGATACATGCTGCAGGAGATCGTGGATTATGGAGAGGCATGATTGCCCACACCAGTCGGAAAGGCACCTGATGATGATGATGATGATAATCTTACTTGGAAGGTTATGGAAAACCATCACAATGTTTTCCAAGAAAAAAGTGTCATAAAGCTATTGACTGTTTACCAGTCTTAGATTGAATAACAAGACTGTGAATCAACACTCACACACTAGTCAAATGTCATCTCTGTTTTTTTGCAACAGCAACCGACCAACTGGTGATGCCTTTACTGCTGTCAAAGTTGCAAGTGGTGGAGCTAGCACAGGCCCAAAGTGTCCACGCTGTGGCAAGACAGTGTATGATGCTGAAAAAGCTATTGGAGTCTCCACGGTAAGAACTTCTATAAACTGATAGTAAGTTCAAGTAAACAATTATCTCCAAGTCTTGAGGCATATGGTGCTGGCTCTGTAGTTTCCATGACCAGTCGGCACTTGATACGTGACAGGGTTAGTCTATGCCAGTCACCTTTCTTTTCCACAATATTTCCTGGTACCAGTTGTATTTTTGGCTGACGTTAGAGCCTAACATGCTAGCCATACTGCTCACAAACACAGTGGTTTGGGTTCTTCTCCTCTTCCTCCATCTTCTTCTTCTCCTTTTTCTCCTCCTCTTCCTCATCCTCCTTATTCTTCTACTTCTTCTTCTTCTCCTCTTCCTCCATCTTCTTCTTCTCCTTTTTCTCCTCCTCCTCCTCATTCTCCCTATTCTTCTTCTTCTCCTCTTCCTCCATCTTCTTCTCCTCCTTCTTCTTCTACTTCTCTTCCTCCTTTTTCTTTGTCTTCTCCTTCTCCTCCTGCTTCTTCTTTGTGTTAACCTGCTGTGAACTTTAACAGAAAGTTATAGCTGCTTGTTCTCTTATGGATTTAGGTCTTTCTCCACAATTTAAATTGCGTGTGTACATTAGTTTTACAAATCTGTCCTATTTTTTAGCAGACTTAGTTCCATGCCTCTCAGTCAGATGCACTTTTATGACATGCTTATTGAGGGTAGAGGGGTGCCCCCCCCCCCCCCCCACACACACACACACATGGCCCTTGAACCCGCCTCATAAGGAGTCTGAGTTCAGTCACAATAATTCATTAACAATTTTTGAAGATAAAATCAAACCAAAAGAAAATATCTGTAATACTTTTTTTCCAATCGTTTATTTCAGCCCTGGCACAAATCCTGTTTTAACTGCAAGAGCTGTAAAAAGTCTGTGGATTCTAGCACCATGGCCATGCATGATGCTGAAGTATACTGCAAAAGTAAGTAAAGGATTCTATCATGCCCCTCCCATTTTATGCCCAATCTTAGGGTGGTGAAGTGGATGTTCAGAATTCTTAAGATATCGGTGAAAACATGGGTGGCACATCCACTACCTGTGCATATGAAAACCTGCGCAAATGAAAACCTGCACATATGAAAAAAATCCCTCGCTAGTTATAAATAAAAAAGGACAGGCTAAATAAACCAACCCCAGCATTCTTTTGGTTGTTGTGGTTTTTCTAGGCAAATTTTACATTCAGTAGTTTACCATTAATTTCTGAGCGGTCAGCTCTAGGTACCACTGTTGAAACCAATGCAAGACAAATTGTCTGCAGCTGGGATTGAACCCAGCACCCTGATATTACAAAGCGCTTTCGCAACCATTACGTAGGCTAAATTTAAAACTTTTAAAAATACTCTTTCTCTCTCTCTCACACAGTTATATACTTTCAGTAGTCCAAATGTGGGCTGCAATTTTTTTTTTGGGAGCCCCAGCCTGGCTTCTGAAAGGGTTTTCTGGGACCTCTCCACGGGTGATCCTCATCGGCATGGTGGCACTTTGTGTCATCAGGTGTTTATCGCTTATGTGATGTCCTGGTGGGGTAAAACTACCTTCCTACCTACCTACAAGTATTTATTCAATGTGTCATTCTAGTGTGCCAACATTTGGGTCTTTAATGGGGTTTTGTGCACTGTGCTGAGATTTTTCTTGTGTAGTCTATGAGAGCAGACTCAAGCACTTATAAAAGACCCCCTCCTCCACATTACCAGCAGGAACATTCCCACTGCTCTAAAGCATTGCATTATTTCACAAAAGTTATACAGATTCAGATAAAGCTTTTAAGCAAAACTAGAATATGCTGGCACTGTTAAACACAGTAGAAGCATTCTTCATGGTTAACAGGAATTTAACATTCAAAGGACACTTTCAAGTCTTTAGGGCCTATAGAACGTACAGGGATAATCCCATATTTCTAGACAGAATACAGCTCTCGCTGGTCAGTATAAAGTCAGTATCTTACCAGCCATTTTAACCTACTAGAACATTTCTAGAATATATAGCCAAGTTACACTGAGGCACCACAAGACAGTCAAATAGTAACCTGTTGAGCCCTATAGCCAAGTTACACTGAGGCACCACAAGACAGTCACATAGTAGCCTGTTGAGCCCTATAGCCAAGTTACACTGAGGCACTACAAGACAGTCACAAAGTAGCCTGTTGAGCCCTATAGCCAAGTTACACTGAGGTACCACAAGAGAGTCCCAAAGTAACCTGTTGAGCCCTATAGCCAAGTTACACTGAGGTACCACACGACAGTCACATAGTAGCCTGTTGAGCCCTATAGCCAAGTTACACTGAGGCACCACAAGACAGTCACATAGTAACCTGTTGAGCCCTATAGCCAAGTTACACTGAGGTACCACAAGACAGTCACATAGTAACCTGTTGAGCCCTATAGCCAAGTTACACTGAGGTACCACAAGAGAGTCACAAAGTAGCCTGTTGAGCCCTATAGCCAAGTTACACTGAGGCACCATAAGACAGTCACATAGTAGCCTGTTGAGCCCTATAGCCAAGTTACACTGAGGCACCATAAGACAGTCACATAGTAGCCTGTTGAGCCCTATAGCCAAGTTACACTGAGGCACCACACGACAGTCACATAGTAGCCTGTTGAGCCCTATAGCCAAGTTACACTGAGGCACCATAAGACAGTCACATAGTAGCCTGTTGAGCCCTATAGCCAAGTTACACTGAGGCACCACACGACAGTCACATAGTAGCCTGTTGAGCCCTATAGCCAAGTTACACTGAGGCACCACAAGACAGTCACATAGTAACCTGTTGAGCCCTATAGCCAAGTTACACTGAGGCACCACAAGACAGTCACATAGTAACCTGTTGAGCCGTATAGCCAAGTTACACTGAGGTACTACACGACAGTCACATAGTGCCATATAGCCAGGTTACACTGAGGCACCACAAGACAGTCACATAGTAACCTGTTGAGCCCTATAGCCAAGTTACACTGAGGCACCACAAGACAGTCACATAGTAACCTGTTGAGCCCTATAGCCAAGTTACACTGAGGTACCACACGACAGTCACATAGTAGCCTGTTGAGCCCTATAGCCAAGTTACACTGAGGCACCACAAGACAGTCACATAGTGCCATATAGCCAAGTTACACTGAGGCACCACAAGACAGTCACATAGTAGCCTGTTGAGCCCTATAGCCAAGTTACACTGAGGCACCATAAGACAGTCACAAAGTAACCTGTTGAGCCTTATAGCCAAGTTACACTGAGGTACCACAAAACAGTCACATAGTAACCTGTTGAGCCCTATAGCCAAGTTACACTGAGGCACCACAAAACAAAGTAACCTCTGGTTGAGGCTGGATGGAGTCAAAAGCATTGACAGTGCTACCCACTGCACTATCAGCTCTAGAATTTCACCCAGACCCAAACAAATTTTCTTGAGTTTATCTACATTATTATTATACATGAATAATGTTGTCAATATTCTAACTTCTCTTTTGTCCTTATTTGCAGCTTGTTATGGAAGGAACTTTGGACCCAAAGGTTTTGGTTTCGGACAAGGGGCTGGCACTCTTTCTATGGGATAAGCTATCTCAGGCCTTGAGTGGAAACATGAAAAGAAGAGATACCGGACCGTGCCTTCTTGCCAATAATTCAGTGTTCAGGCTTTCTTCAGTTGTTTGGGGCTGCAGAATAGGCTCTCTTGCATGACTACACGCTTATAAATGCTATATATTTTCTAAGCAGAAAAATGTGTTATTTAAATGTACATATTTAATAAAACATAGCTGGAGGGTGGGGTACCTGACAAGAGATAAAGAGGATACCTCGGAAATTATGAATCAACTGCATTGACCAGCCTGTAGAACTTTTGTGAACTAAATCAGGCCATTGATTCATCACACATTGTCATAATAAAGTAACTACTTTATTATTTGAATGTGCAGAATTTTCATGATGCAACTTACTGATAGTATTTTTTTTTACCATTCAGTGTCAGTCAGACACAGCATCAAACCTCAACTAGGCATGTTGGTTTCTATAATCTACATTAGCAATTCTTAACCTCTGGGTTATAACCCTTTTTTGGGTCAAGCAACCCTTTCACAGGGATCGCCAAAGACCATAGTAAAACACATATTCTGGAAGCAAAAGTAGAGACGAAAATAATTATATGGTTGGGGAGGGGGGGGGGGTCTCCACAACATGGGCAACGTTATTAAAAAGTCACAGCATTAGGAAGGTTGAGACCCTCTGATCTACATCATGATAGTTTGTGTTCTGTGAGATTAACTTGTTCTGTACCAGGTAACTAACCAATCATTCACTGGGTATCCAAAGGCTGGACAATAGATGGATGCAACATTTGTTCATTCTGTCAGAATTGCTAATTTTAACACATTTTGTTCCATGGTGTTATTTGGATCACTTGTGACTGAAATTTAAACTACTATACCCTAGGGCAGAAAGAGTCAAAGATGATAGTGAAAAAGTGGGAAGATTCACTTCACTGCACTGAGTTTTACCTTCTGTAGCTTTGCCTTTTCCACAGAAATACTGATCATCTACTGCTAGCATCACACAAAACATAGACCCTGTAGCTCCACTGATGACCCCTACAATCTCTGAAAAAAATGCACTTGTAAAGTGAACGAGTCAGTTCAAAATTAAACTCACAACCTTAAGAGCACAAATGGTTGATTCTTTTACTGCAAGGACTATCTGTTTTGGGACATTAAAGAAACATTATGTCCAGACCTGGAAATAATTATAAAACATCAGATTCAGCTTTTGTATTTCCCCATGTATTCAGTTTTGTACAGTATAGTTTTATTATGATATAATGTATAAACCATTTTCTGTACCTCCATTTGTAATAACTACTTTTAATTATATTTATGCCAGTTATACTAGAAATGCTAACCATGTCAATAAATGCCAGGAGAAGTTGGATGTTTCAGCCAAAACACACAGATATCACAGGGCTGCTGTAAAAAAAAAAAAAAAAAACCACTACACAAATACCGTCCATCAATCATTAGAAAAACTGTGTTAAAGATCTATTATAGCCAAGCCTTGTTTGTGCAAAAAATGACACCAGATTAAATACATATTTGGATAAACAACTTGAATATAGAATAAGATTTCTTTGATGATTATTTATTTACAGTATCCCTTAAAAAAGTAACCATGACATGTTATCTAAATCATTGTATCATGTTATCTAGATCATTGTATCATTCCCAACCTAATTGTGTACTGTTGTGATTAGATTACCAGGTCCATTTACCCATTTTTATATTATTTTGTCACTGTAATAAAATTGACTAGTTAACATGCCAGATTTCTGGAAATCTGTTAAATTTTTCTGTACGAGAATCAAAGCTACAACTAAATGTTGTTATTGTCTACAGTGTGCACTTATTGTTACTTTGTTCTTTCACTTTCTGTGAGTGCTTATCAATTCCTGGCAATTTATTTCAGCCACAATCATTAAATACAGATAGTTCCTTGTCAACATTGCACTAAGAAAATTTCAATAAATAAGGTGGGACAAAAGCACTGACCTAATCCATGTTTCTCGTGCATGTGGGCTGGCAAACCATGACCCTCTATGCCAGCAGTTCTCAACCTATGGGTCACTATCTTTTTTTGGGTCGAATGACCCTTTCACAGGGGTCACCAAAGTCCATAGGAAAACACATATTCACTTAAATTATAAAGTAACAACTAAAAATATTATATGGTTGGTGGGTCGCCACAACATAAGGAACTGTATCAAAGGGGCCCGCAATAGTTAAGAATTAATGGTCAATGCTTATTGGCATGGCACATAATGATGATGATGGTGACAAAGTCTTTTATGTGACTGCTAGATCTGGTCTGCAAAACAGACATATATTTATAATTTTTGCAATTTTTAAAAGACTTTATTAGCTTTATTACAGTCACCTTTTTTGGATGTACCACCACTGCTACGGTGCTATCAACTTCTACCACTCGCAGCTAATATTACTACAACTTTTTATTCTTTCTATAGTTCCTGTAGGTGGATATTGCATTAAAGGAAGAGGAGATAATGTGTTGGATAATATGAAAATCTACTCCTTTAACCCTATCTCTACTCCAAAACTACAAAAGCTTTAACGGTGTCATAGCTAGTGGAAACAAACCCATACTTAAAGCTGCCACAGTAACAAAAAACAACAAAAACAGAAAAGGTTTGTTGGTGGGGGTGGGGCTAAGATCAAACTATCTTACCCTGACAGGAAATGCTCTGTTTACATTCTAGATAGCAGCAACAGTAAAACTAGACACACCAACCACAAGACCTAATCCGAATTAAACAACTGGAACTATAATTATCACATTCTACAATCCTTTTATTTCACTGAACACAAAACTAATGATGCTTGACAAATAACAATACATTAACAACCAACATAGTGTTCACACATGTGCTAAGCACCTCGTCTAGCAAGGATGAAAATTCTTCTAAAATTAAATATCTATGAGCGATGATACACACTGATATCTCTATTCACACAGTTTAACTACTAGAGACAAATTCAGATTTAACTATGATGGAAATTTATATCTAACCATAGACATACTAATGCCATGAAATCAATCAGCTTATTGTCGCTCGATCGCCCGAACCCACGCTGCTGGGTGGGAGCTCCTGTCCTCGGGCGACCTGCGCGGTCAGAATGCCGAAAGCCGAAAGCCGAATAGGCAGTTTTCAGCGTTCAGTCCGCAACTTCAGCAGTTCCATTACTAATAGTACCAGCAACATTCGGATTATATGTCCATCTTGCCTTTCCTCTAAACCTTGAGTATCGGACCAGATCAACTCGTCCCTCGCCGCAGTATCACTCGCATCAGACTTTGATGATCCATTTGCTACCAGAAAAGAAATTATGCGCTAGAAGAGGTACCGATGCTGCGTTTTGCCAGAAAAAGCCCTGATGACGAATAACATTTGTGTCAAGGAATGACAAGCCATTACGCATCACTCTAACAGAGTTGAGACCTATATTACCTGTGCTCGACACAACTTTCAAACTTTGACTCGTCCGGGAAGGTATATAGTCCCATATATCGATGTATGCCTTTATCAGAAGAAATTATGATATCTACATCTTCTAGTTGCTTCGACTTAGTGTCATTTTCAAATTTGCAACTATACGATAAATATTACTGGAATTAATTGAGGATTCTTGGAAACCGATTTACTCCTTGCTCATGTATACAAGGAACTTCTTCTTACAGACGCCTGAATTGAATTTTTGCGGCATTATTTCTGCCGGCTTTACTAGCGTTCAGATGTATGCATCGACGCCAACAAATTTCACTTTCATAAGGCGATCTGTAGTGTCGGGGACTTTTCCTATGCTTGGGAGGAAACCTATGTGAAGAGCTGGCTGAAAAATCACAGTCCAACCAACACCCATCAACCAACCAATCAATCAATCAATCAACCTATTACCAACCAACCTATCACCTAACTACCCACCAACTACCCCTTGTGAAGTTCCAGATCTCGTCACCATGGGGTGCCATATACCCCAAACAGTCCAACAGTGCCAGAGCTTGGTGTAGCTGAGGGACAGTATGGTGAACTGACTGGTGGGAGAGATTTGCTGTGTGCCTATCCAGTTGCTGTGTCCTCTATGGTGAGGTACTTCCCCACCATCTGATCCAGTTGAGGCAGAATTTCCAAAGACAGTCGAATCATCAGGAGCTGAGGGAAGCATCAACGATAGAAAGAGGATAAGTGACAGCTTAACCAGATAACATGCTATATTCCCCACAGCTCCACTGGGGTCCAATGATGAAGAGGTGTCATCTCCAGGACTTTCTGGCTGTTCAGTTTCCTATTGAATCTGGTTATTGTATTCTGGGATCCAGCTATTGAGATCTGGCATCTACTTCACTATTATATATATATGTATATGTTGTATTGATTACATGCATTCATTTTCATGGCTGACGTATGTGTCTCTATTTCACCTTTTTAAGTGTTTAGCATTTGTGTGTGTAGGAATCATAAATATTATATGGGTTAACATGGTTATGATAATGAACTATCATAACCTGGGGGCTTTCTTTAGTAAGTAGTGGGGGTGTCCAGCCAAGTGTGCCTAGGAATATTGTATTTATATACAGATATATTTTGTAGTGCCAAAACTTGAGTTGCCCTACTCCAGAAATAAGTTGATCGTATATTGGCCACGGGGAATCCCTTAGACCAATACGAGCCAAACGACTCAACATAATTATTTCTGAGTGCTGTTGGTTCTGAAGGAGAAATCCTTATATCAGGCACGTGACAGGAGTGATATGTGACAATTTGCAGGAAGTCCCCCGCCTCCCCTCCCCCGCAATAAAACAGCTTTCCTTCTAGGAATATAACTTAGATGATTAGTACCCAGTGATTCGAAGAATTGCTTTCAAACAGGATATCCCAGAAATCCATTTCAACCGTGCAACACAGTTATGGTGTGTGTGTGTTCTCCCATTTCCCTCCTACGTTAAGTAAGTATGGCAATCCCCCTCTCTCACAAGGGGATGACAACGTCTGCGT